TAAAACAAAAATAAAAAATAGAATTAAAACATATAAAATTGATTTTAGTGGCTAAAATGGAAGTTTACAAACTTCAAATGGCTACGGAAAGGGTTTTTCCACATTGGAAATTACACAGACACCCCTCATCAAAACGGCGTCGTTTTGATGAGGGTATAAATACCCTTTAAACCGGCCCCCTTGGGCCATTTCTTATTTTCTTTCTTCTCTCTCTCTCTAAGGAGAGATTTTCTCTCTCTTCTCTCTAAATGTTTTTCTCGTTGAAGAGAAATAGATCACCGGCCGGTTGCCTTGCTCCGGCGCTGGCCACCACCCACGGTGGCCAGATTTTACAAAAATGCCCCAAATCGAAGCCCGGATTTTTTGAAACCCAAATCTAAGGTTGTTCTAGCCTAAAGTGTTTTCAAACTTCGTAGATCTAAAAGAAACCGAAGTTTTACCTTCGGTTTTACGGTGGCTCCGGTGACGTTTGGCTCCTCGAGGGTAAGTTTCTTCACTCTCTTCTCTTTTCTTTCAGTTTTGTAGTTGTGTGTCGTTGGTGGTCCCCTCTTTCAGGTTCGGTCAATGGGGCTTTTATAGGCTCCTTCGTACTCCCTTTGGACCAGTTAAAGGAAGGTAACCCAGTGAGTCACCCACCTATGACAGTGGAAGTCTTAGGGGAGATGAGGTGTGCGGTGCTGGAAGCTGCTGGAACGGGGACGTGGAGGGACTGCTGGCAGTGTTGGAAGCTACTGGAATTTGCAACCTGGAGGGGCTGCTGGCAGTTCTGGAAGCTGTTGGAATTTGTAACGTGGAGCTGTTGGAATGGGGAGGTAAAAATGATGATTACAGCTGTAAAATATCTAAATTAATGGACATAATTCGAATCATGTTGCTTTAATTTTATTTATTTTAGTCATTGTTTAGTTGCATTCTAATATAATTTTTATTATTATCCTTTAAATTTTAATTATTATTTTTTTATTATTTTATTTTAGTCATATCAATATATATTATTTGATTAATTTTATAAATTAATAATATTTATTTATTTTTAAATATTAAGAAATGGAGGTCTTAAAATAACTAGATGTCCTATTCTGGTATTTTAAATAAATAAATATTTTGATTATAAAAATTATATATATTTAATTTAGTTTTATTTAAATTATTTTTAGGAAAAATATCATATTTTTAATATTTTTTTATTAAGAAATGGGTTGTCTTAAAGTAACTAGTTGTCATTTTCTCATAGTTTTAAATAAATAAATACTTTATTTATAATTTATAAAAATCATTTTATATATGTTTTTCTTTAAAATTATGCGATTAAATCTAGAATAAGAGGATTATAAATTAAATTTATATTCGAATTCTTAAATTCTATTATTAGAGACAATTTATAATCAATGGGTACTAATTTTGGGCGTTGTGGGGTGTTAATCCTTCCCTAAACGTAACCGACCACGAATCCCTTTTTATTATTAAAAAGAATGAATTTTTGGTTAAATGCAAACAAGTTTATCTTTTGACTGATGTTTTCTTAAAAACTCTATTAAAAGATCATCTTTAGGTATTCGACCTACCTAATCCAAAAGGCCGATGGCGACTTCAAAACATTTCATTAAAAACTATTTATTCATTTATATACTTTTTCGCCAAGGAATATTCGTGCCCGGACGAAAACCGATTACGACAGGAGTGATTTAGTTTTGTTTATTAATAACCACATTAAATCATTTCACTTGGGAGACTATGCATTATTATCATTGACGTATATATATCTATTTGGGCTTTTCTTGAACTGTGTTTGTCTGACATGATGGAGTATGAACCTAATCTTTGTTAGTCAAATTGATACATAAAATACTACTGATATTTGTCAATACACATCATAGTTTAGACTTAATTCCCTTTTGAAGTTTCGTTCAGTTTTCGTTATAATTCACCCGGTCACTCTCAGACAAGAAAACAGGGTGTAGGGGCAACTACCGAGAGTGTGGTTGCTATTTTTGGACAGGCTTTATCAGCATCGACTAGTAAGTCTGAGAATCCAACTTCAACAAATGTAAATTCCATATTCTAGAGGGTTAAAGATGCCTCAACTACTCAAACTTTTATTGGAAAAAATGATTAATTATTTTAATAAAATTTTAAATGATTATCAGTTTATTTAAGTATTTTAAAATTCGATTTAGAAAAGTCAAATTCAAACAACTTAATATTGTTTTGAATCGAATTCAATAGGCGAGTATGTAGTTGAACCCAACTCTCTTCTTGTTGGAGTTGGGCTCAGTTGGTACAGCAGGTATAGTAAATGTCTGTTGGCAGTAGAGGGGTTGAAAGTTTTATGCTGCAGCAGAGAGTGGGCCTTGAAGAGGGGTTCTAAATTATTTAAAAGAAACAAAGAAGAGATGGGCCTTGCATTGTATTGCAGCCATTTACTTTGGCATGAATTTAGCCGTTTACTTGGGTTTGAATATTAAGAATGTTAGGAATATAATATTTGATGTTAAAAGATTGAGAGTTATTTATAAATAGATATTGTCTTATATTTATCTAAATTAATAAAAAAAACAGCAGATTTCCCTTTGATTTGAGCAACCAACTAATGATTTTTGTTATTGCTTTGGTAAATAAGTACGAGGATACACAAGATTTTATGTTAGAATTGTAAATTTAAGAATCTGATCAAACATTAATCAAATCAAATGATATTCAATTCAGGTTCTTATTTGAACAAAAAAAATCCAAACTTGAATAACTCCTAATTGAACCAAATTTAAGTATCTAATCGAACAAAAAAATCTACGTACTAAATTAAATTTTTTGAAGTAAAATTCAAACACCTAATGAGCCTGGACAAGGAGCGGAACCTATCCAGGTCTCAAATTTGAGATGTTCACTATAATTAAAAAAAAAAAGTAAGTTATCTACTTAGTCACTCATCTATTACTTAATTTACATTTTAATTATTTAATTATTTTTTTAAATTATACTTAATATTATTTTTTAATTCTGTTTTGACCACTCACCACTAAAAGTTAACAACGATACTAACATGACATTTTTATTTTTTTTTCAATTTCCACGTAACTATTTATTTATTATTTGACAAGATGGTTGGCTGAAATCGAACCATAAACCTTTTAAAAGAGGATATGTTTATTTTTAGGTAAATTATATGTTTAATACCTAAACTATCAGTTTTAGTCCGTTTTAACATCTAAACTTTCAATTTTTTTTAAAATCATACCAAATATTTAGTTTTTGTTTTAATACCTCATCGTTAAAAAGGGTAAATTACATTATTCATCACTCAACTATCTTCTCACTTTTATTTTGGTCACTAAAGTTAATTACTTAATTTTCAACTTACTCCTAATTTAATCACTCTAACTTTTACATTTATTTATTTTTAATTGTATATTAATAAAATAATAATAATAATTTCATGTCACAAAAATTATTAACAAAATAAAAAAGAGTGATTAAAATAGGGACAATTTGAATTTTTTTTAAACTTTAATACCAAAATAGAAGTGAGAAGATAGTTGAGTGATATAATTTAGATACTAAACGCGTAATTTATCCTTTTTTTGAGTAGTTGAGTGTTTAATAAAATTTCTTATTATTTTGGCATAATGTCAAAAAATATATGTAGCAGTTGAACTAATAGTCATGTTGACCCCTATTCTTTTTTTTAAAACATTTTGGCCTCCAATATTGTATTTTGGTGCAAAAAGATCCTTATATGAATGAATGTCATTAGTCAACAAACATATAACATTCTAAAATAAGATCATCTTGAAAACCTATGTTTATCCATTCATAAACTTAAATGTTTGGCTATATTTAAAAAAAATATAAGAAATTCAACGTCTGGATGCAAAATGTTATTTTCGACTTAGCACTCATTAATGATCCCAGCATCCCATAAATTGGTAAACTGAAAAAAGAAAATCACTAATATCAAAATTGTTAGCAATTGTATCTAAAAGAGTAATGGTACTGCAGCTTTCATGGATGTCGGTCCAACCCAGCACCAACCTTTGCATCTATGGCTCACACAAACCATGGTTCATTTAGTTCTGCACTTTCCAAAAAGAAAAACAGTACATTGGAAGTGCCATTATATTTTGTCCATCTTTTGATGTCCTCATTTATCGTTAATCATTAGTCTATTATTTAATTCTCATTCACCAAGGTAAAGACACGACCATGCTATCGAAACTTGAACTCCGAAGCTTACTATTAGACGTCATATAGCTTACAAAAATCAACTCGGCGCTGGGGCTCCTAAATCAGCATTCCCCGTAACCACGCGTGCACTTCGCAGGCTGCCTTGGCTGTAGGAGTGACTCTTTCCTTTAGAAACCTCCCTTATTTTTCTTAACGCTTTCTCTCACTTTTTCTATTATTGGGTTAACAAAGGACATAGATGCTAACATTTTCTCTATTTTTCTGGCATCTTCAGCACTTTGTTTTTAGTACAGTTGGATGATGATGCAATTTCGATAATTTCTGCCATTTTATCATACCGGCTTATTTTGACTCTTGTTTAAGATGCTTACTAAGTCGGCTTCATAACAAGGACAATTGAACTTCCATTAAACAGTAATGGAAATGCTTTGCTCTGGTTTGCCACAAGCTGGCAGCAATTTTCTATCTGATGCAGTTGATTTTCTTGGAAATATATGATAAAAGTGGCCACTGATGATGACCACTTAAAGACGTAATTTGGGATTTTGAGATATTCAACAATCACTGTTTCGTTAACTACATTTCATTGACATTTTACGAACTGTTGCTAGTCGTTTGTTGGTAAGACCCTGAACTTAGAGCTTTCTTTTTGACTTCTTTTCATATTTCACTTACAGAATGTCAAAAGAAAGCAAAACCTTAATCTAGAAATGAAACTAAATAAAACATCATCAAATACTAAAATTTTCAATCTGCTGGTCACTCTTACAAAAATTTCCAAAAAAACAATCTATATTTACAGTAATTGGCTTCAGGATGTACAAATATTTTCAAAAACAATTTAGGGGCAAACTATAAAAGACTGGAGGCAAGGGTATGTTTTCAAGAACAGAGTTTTGGTAAGAATCTAGCATTATTACCAAGGCTGGATAATCTTGTTCTTGGAATATTTCCTATTTGAGCATGCATTATGCCACAGAACTTCTCCTGTTCTGTTACCTTGCATTGCGTTTCTTGCAGCTGTACATCAAGTTGCTCAGCTTTCTCCGAAACACCGAATCGTTTTGCATACACAAGGATTCCATCGGAATTCTCTTTCTCTTTGATACTTTCCTCGTTAGAGATGGAACCACTAAAGGCGTTGGTATGTTTTTGGCGTTCAATTAAGTTTTCAAGCTTGGATTGCCTATTAAGGAAACCTTGTATGGCTATTCTTGATGGAAATCTTGAGTTCCGGGCCAAGTCTCTCAATGCATCGGTCGAGAGCTTCGCATAGTTAAGTGCACTACAGATTCTCATTTTCTGTGCTTCACTTATTCCACCACGAATCTGTTCAGAAATTTCATCAGTCAACAAACTTTAGATATGGGATGCACATTTATCCCAATACTAACTACTCTCTCTTTCCAGTATGAGCAATCAAATTAGACTTAGCAGAGTACTTGACATCTGTAATATCAGTTTTAACTTTTTCCCTAATCATTTGTTTATTCAATGAATTTATTTTAAAATTTACAAGCCTGAATTAATTGAGCCCTAACAAATAGACATGCAACTTATAAGGAATATAGTCTACCAACGTCAATACGTCATTTGTAAGAAAAATAGAGAATCAGGATTGGTATAAGATTTTGTGCAAATCAATTAATTGTGTAACAAGGGAAAATATTTATAAGCTGATAGCAGTACCTGTAGATAATTGTCTATGGCTTGAAAAAGCCTATCATGGGATTCTCTTGCAGAATCTGGCAGCAGAAGGACTAATGCCGCAAACTTTGAAGGGTTCAGGTAGGAATCTGCTGAAACTTCCACAAGGTATGAGTCGAGTAAGCTAGAAACTTTTCGTAATCGAACCGGGGATAAGCAAGGACTTTGTTCATTGTGAAATGCATTTACAAGCCTCAGAAGCAGATTCACATCATACATGTAATGTTTCTTTTGTGGTGATGGGACAAGCAGAAAATCTATGGTTGCTTCATCGAGTTGTAAACCAATAAGATTTTCCAAAATTGATTTGCAATGTCTTCTAACTTTCAAAGCCGAAGCCACTCGGTATATATCGAATAAGAGCTTCCAAGAAAGGGAGCTCCTATCAAGCAAAGAAAGCAAATTAATTATGACTTCCATGATTCTGCACTTCTCGCTTGGGGTGGCAATAAGAAATCTCGATCTTTGATAACAAAAGAGGAACTTCATTATTGTAGCATGGTCAAAACGTTGGGATACCATCATTTTCATTACCTTATCAATCAAATCAATATTCAAAAACAGAAGATCCTCAAACCACCAAGATACATGAGAGGGATTGTTTCTTATACTATAGCTGCTCCTTGTATCAGATGAACACCGGAAACTTGAGTTCTCTGAGGAAGATGTGTACGGACTTGCAACAATAGGAGAGACAAGCCTTTCTATAACACAATTCAGGACTTTATCAAGTATTAGAGAAGGTTTCGAAGGAGAAAGCAAATCTTGGCACTCTTTCAAAACTACAAGGAGCTCAGACCAGGACCAGAAGCTAATGCCATCTAGAGACTTTTTGGTTTGGTTCAACAAGCTAGGCCTGGGGCCATCACTATCCATCTCCATGAATTGTGCTGCACAATTTAGTAAGGCTATATTGGCAGGAGTTATCTCAGTTCTCCCGTTGTTATAACAAAACCTTGCTATGAGCTCAAACCCCTCGGCTCCCCCAGGAAAGTCGTCAAATACTATTTTCAGGTCCCCTGTATTATCCATCAAATCACCTAACAATTTGGCGAATCTTTTAGAGAAAGACGCTATAATTTTCTGCATTTAGAAACAAATTCAAGGTGAGTTAGTAGCACATAGTAGGATGATATGTAGAGAAAAGGAAAAACACATTATGACATTTTTAACCCAAAAATGCCAAGCGGTTACCAACTCAAAAAAAAACTATAGATGAACCCAAAAATGACAGGAATTTGTGTGGTAAGAAGTTACCGTCAACAATAAATTTAAGAGTGGCCCTGTTTCTTCTGTAATCTAGAAGAGGGGCCATGATCCTTGGTGAAATTAATACTAACTTATAAAAAAACCCAGAAGAAATAAAGCGCATCGAGTACACAAAACAGCAACACAATTGACTTCAAGTGAACGCAATAAATCACAGAAGCTGAAGTTTCTCTACCGGAAAAAACTTAAAAGTTTTTTTAACGAACTACAGGAGTTGATATTACCTTGTCTACTACAAAGACCTCTTCACCGTTGACATTCACTACAAGATCACAGCAGGCTTGCATTGTTTAGATAAACAAAAGGTGAAAACTGAAAACCAGCGAAAGAGAAAGGTGGTGTTTCAAAAAGGGAAGCACATTTTTTCTTTTTCTTGAGACTGAACCAAAAAAAAAAGGAGAATAAAGGACGCCGAGAAGTTGCTTGTAGGAAGAAGATGGTGCTGTGGTAGTTGGTCAAATAGACAACTGAGCATAAGAGACAAGGTTTGTTAGTAGAGAGTATATAGAGAAAGTGTCGTAACCGATTTTCGTCCGGGTACGAATTTTTTTTATTTGGTGAAAAAAGTGATGTGAATAAATAGTTTTTAAAATAATTTGAAAGTCGTCATCGACCTTTTGGGTCAGGTAGGTCGAATACCTAAAAATTATCTTTTAAAAGAGTTTTTAAGAAAACATCAGTTAAAAGATGAACTGATCTGCGTTTATAACAAAAAATTCTTTCTTTTTAATAATAAAAAGGGATTCGTGGTCGGTTACGTTTAGGGAAGGATTAGCACCCCTACAACGCCCAAAATTGGTACTTTTTAATTATACATTGTCTCTATTATTAGAAATTTAAGAATTCAAATATATTTAATTCATAATTATGTTATTTCAAATAATCTTAAGAAAATATATTAATATGTATAAATAAAATATTTATTTATTTAAAAATATCAGAAAAGAGCTTCTAGGTGCTTTAAGACAACTCTTTTCTTCGATATTAAAAATAAATAAATAACTAAAAAATATTTTTTCTAAAAATAATTAATATATAATTTATAAAAACAGGATATTTATTTATTTATGAATATCAAAAAAGAACTTCTAGGTGTTTTAAGACAGCTCTTTTCTTCGATATTAATAAATAAAATAAATATTAAAAATGTAATAATTTTTCATAAAAATGATTTAAATAAAAATAAATTATAATTTTTATAATATTTAATTTAAACAAATATATATAAATATATTTATAAGATTAAGATAATAATAAAATAATAATTAAAGCCATAATTAAAATATAAAAGTAATAACAAAATAATATTGTAATTAAATAATGATCAAAATAAAAGAAATTAAAAATATAAAACTAAATATAAAGTATTAAAAACAAAGATAATAATTCGAAATATTATGAAAGATAATGGTTAATAGTGTAATTTAACCTAATTAATTAATTTGGGATATAAATATAAATTAATAAAATTATAAGGGATTAAATCGGTTATTTACCCTAAAGTATGTAATTATGCTGGAAATGACTAAAATAATATAAAATAAAATTACGAGACTAAATTAAGATATATAGAAATTTATTGTAGTGACTAAATTATAATAAACACAAAATTTAAATAATGAATTAAAAGGCATAAAAGTCAATTTCAGTGACCAAAATGAATTATTTACAAAACCTGAAGGGCCGCGGAAATGGTTTGTCTAGTGGTGAAATTACGGACATACCCCTCCCCAAAACGGCGTCGTTTGGGAAGGGTATATACTCCCCTTCCAGCTGGCCCGAAGGGCCAGCGTTTCCATTTCTCTTCTTTCTCTTCTCTCTCTAACTGAGAGAGAAGAGAATTCTCTCTCGCTTCTCTCTATCTTCCCTCACCAGAGGGAAGCCGGTCATCGGCCGGCAGCCGTCTGCCGCCGTAATCCTCACCGCCGGCCACCGCATCCGGTGGCCGGAAAATTTTATTTTTTATACCAACGTAGATCGGACCGTCCTAATGACGATTCCGGTGTTCTTTTCTCTTAAATAGCTCCCGATCGGAGCAAATCTAGGAAAATACCTTCGGTTTTCGAAGGTTTTTTGGTGACGCTTGGAGGCCGGTGGTGACTCCGATCGAGGTGTTATCTTCCCCGGTAAGTTTCTCTCGCTCTTCTCTTTTTGTTTTGTGGTTTGCTTTCTGTTTTTTTTTCTTCTTTTTTTGTTCTCTGTTCTTGCTCTCTGTTGGTTGCCGTTGTTCTGTGTCTTTGCTTGCTGTCTTTTTCTTTGTTTTTGCAGGTTCGGTTTTATAGGCCTCGATGAGGCTCTCGTCGGACCGGTCCCAGAGGTGTTTATCGGTGAGTCACCAGACTATTGTGGTGACTCACCATAGAGCAAGCGACGTGGAGGGGTATTTGGGTCTTCTAGAGCCTTCTGTTGAGGCATCGTGGCAGAGTAGACCGTCGGCAGCATCTGATTGGGTCACCTGGCAGTGGAGTGTCGGCAATGAGCGGCGGCTGTGGCTTCTGGAAGCTTGAGGCGGCGTCTGGACATGGAAACCTTAATATGGTTTTAGGGTTTAGCTTGGCCCATTTCTGATAGGGCCTGGTTGTAATCGGGCCAGAGTTGGGCCTTGGGTTGTATCTGTAATAAAATAATAATAATAATAATAATAATAATAATAATAATAATAATAATAATAATAATAATAATAGTAATAAAAATAAAAATAATAAATATAATAAAAACCAAATGTAAAAAACTAGTGTCTTCAGCTGTCCCTCTTTGCTCATTCTTGTGTTAACAAGAATAGGGCAAAGACGAAAAGACAATAAGTTTTTTTCATTTGACTTCATTTGATTATGATGGTAATGTTGAACAAAATCTTCTTTGGGATTAGTTCTTCTCATTATGAACTTTTCCACTGGGATGATAATTTGTCTCCTTTTGTAATGTAATTTAGCAAAAAGTTAACAAGTTCTTCTCATTATGAACTCTTTCATTGGGGATGACAATTCATCTCCTTCTGTGATGTAATCTGGAAATGTTGATGCTGATCTATCTCCTTCTGTGATAGAATCATGCAAAAGATTGAACAAGTTCTTCTCATTATGAACTTCTTCTTCCTTATTCAGATGAGTTCTTCTCATTATGAACTCTCTCTGGAAAAGTTGATCCATCGAGTGATGAATTCGAGCAAAAAGTTGAACAAGTTCTTCTCATTATGAACTTCTTCTTCCTTCTTCAGATGAGTTATTCTCATTATGAACTCTACCTGGAAATGTTGATCCATCAAGTGATGAATTCAGGCAAAAGGTTGAACAAATTCTTCAAATTATGAATTTCTTCTTCCTTTTCAGATGAGTTCTTCTCATTATGAACTCTACCTGGAAATGTTGATCCATCAAGTGATGAATTCAAGAAAAAAGTTGAACAAGTTCTTCTCATTATGAACTTCTTCTTCCTTCTTCAGATGAGTTCTTCTCATTATGAACTCTTTCACTGATGCTGATCCATCAAATGATGAATTCAAGCGAAAAGTTGAACAAATTCTTCTCATTATGAACTTATTCTTCCTTCTTCAGATGAGTTCTTCTCATTATGAACTCGACCTGGCAATGCTGATCTATCGAATGATGAATTCAAGCGAAAAGTTGAACAAGTTCTTCTCATTATGAACTTCTTCTTCCTTCTTCAGATGAGTTCTTCTCATTATGAACTCTTTCACTGATGTTGATCCATCAAATGATGAATTCAAACAAAAGGTTGAACAAATTCTTCTCATTATGAACTTCTTCTTCCTTCTTCAGATGAGTTCTTCTCATTATAAACTATCTCTGGAAAAGCTGATCCATCAAGTGATGAATTCAAGCGAAAGTTGAACAAATTCTTCTCATTATGAATTTCTTATTCCTTCTTCAGATGAGTTCTTCTCATTATGAACTCTTTCACTGATGCTGATCTATCAAATGATGAATTCAAGCGAAAAGTTGAACAAATTCTTCTCATTATGAACTTCTTCTTCTTTCTTCAGATGAGTTCTTCTCATTATGAACTCGACCTGGCAATGTTGATCCATCAAATGATGAATTCAAGCGAAAAGTTGAACAAGTTATTCTCATTATGAACTTCTTCTTCCTTCTTCAGATGAGTTCTTCTCATTATGAACTCGACCTGACAATGCTGATCCATCGAATGATGAATTCAAGCGAAAAGTTGAACAAGTTCTTCTCATTATGAACTTCTTCTTCCTTCTTCAGATGAGTTCTTCTCATTATGAACTCTTTCACTGATGCTGATCCATCAAATGATGAATTCAAACAAAAGGTTGAACAAATTCTTCTCATTATGAACTTCTTCTTCCTTCTTCATATGAGTTCTTCTCATTATGAACTCTCTCTGGAAAAGTTGATCCATCAAGTGATGTATTTGAATCTTTGCTAAAATCTTTGAAATTCCTGTTAACATTTAACATGGATAAAATGAATGAAAATGCTCCTATTTTGCAAATGTCTAAATATGATGCATGAATGTTGATGCAATCTTCATTTGACTTCAAAATGGTGAACTCGGTTTTCCTCCACTTCATCATTTATTGCCAGGGTCACCTTTGGATAGCAATGTAGCAACTTATGCTATCAAGCTTGCATTTCTGAAGAACCATCTGATCAACTTGTATCTTTATGTCTTCTTTGCTTCATGAAAGTCTCAGAAGAATTGTTTCATTTGTGGAACTCTTGTCGTAGTCAGAACTATGACCTTGATGCCCCATTTTGTCTTGGATAAAACCAACTTTCTTTGCTTGGAGTTGTGCAGAAATCCGATAAAGCTTTCATCTTTGAAAAGAGAATCTGTCATCTTTAAAAAGGGAATATATCCTCTTTGAAAAGAGAATCTATCATCTTTGAAGAGTGTAGATGTAGATATATCTGACTCAGCAGGGATTAATTAAGAGAGTAGAGTCTGTTCCAATTTAACTCTTGAAACATATCACAAGGAAGATTTATTCCAATTCCTTTCATGTCTCCACATATAATCAGATCTCGAATAAGGCAACTTGGACTATATCATGTCGAGATGCTTAACTACAACCTGTCGTTCAACTAGTTTCTTGTTGTTAAAATTTCAGCTCTCCTTCTGTGGAAAGAAATCTTCATCATATCTCAACTTATAATCTTGAAGTTGAAAAAGACAAACAAACTTCATCTTGGATCAAAAATGGAAACCATATGATCACAACATTGGTTCAACATTAGAATAACTGGTTTGTAAAACATTTGACAACATATTCTTAATCTCATGTGGTTTCAGCTCAGATGTAAAATACTTGACAACACATTCATCCTTTTCTGTGGGATGTAAAACACTTGACAACACATTCATCCTTTTCTGTGGCTTCTGCTCAGATGTTCGTAAAGCTTTTGACAATACATTTATCCTTTTCTGTGGCTTCTGCTCAAATTTCTCAATTATTGAAGCTCTTTACCTATTGTTCAAAGTTTTTGAATGACGTCACAAGACCACTTGAGAACAAAACT